TATATATATATATATATATAAGGTGGTACACCCCAAGAGTTTATCTTATCCGATTTGCTGAAAAGTGGAGGTTCCGTTTGATATTGCCTTCAAGGATACCGTTTAGCCAGGTGGCTGATTTCAACAAGTTAGTGTTTGGTTCGGTGTTTCGTCTGGACTATAGGTGTTATTAAGTATTGCATATGTTGTATCACTGAGGCAGACGAGATGAATGCTCGGAATTTTATCACCGGATGCAAAAAATAACATCGATAAACTTACTCCTCCGGGTACCGTCCATTTTATTTACAGACCGTGATTGAGCCATTACTCTGCTCTATATTCATGGAAACAAATAGCTGTTTGAAAATCGAACGAAATAAATCACAGTTTTCAGTTTGGTTGCTTTTTACACTCCTAAGTTACATGCAACCGATGTTGGATATAAATTTTCCATGTTTCAATCTTAAGAAAACAGAATCTTAACATGCTAATAATTGTATTCCCTTTATTAAACACTAAACATAACATACCTTCAATAAAAAACTAAAGCATCCAATTTTAAATGGAGGAAATTAACTCAAATTCACAAGTGGAAGGTGAGAATTGTATGCAAGTTTAAATGTTTCAAGCTTTATTCTTCCACTTTCATGGTCAGTATCGTCCTTAATTCCTGCACAGACTATTTAATTTCTTTTGCCTCCAATGCAAGCAGAGTTCAATTTTTGGAATCAAATTTTGATCAAAAGTTACATATTTTCCAAATTTTCAAAGATTAAGATCAAGGAGGAACCTACTTGAGAGCACTGGGAAATAAGTTGTGCCCATGCAGCCCCAACAACATTTGATTTCAGCTGCCGTTTCTTCGCCTTAGACCCATTTAACTTTGCCTTCTCCGCCGCGTCAATCACAGAATGACCTAGAAAAAAAAGTCCCCAATTATTAACCAAACAAAAAAAAAAAAGATACAAATTATGATAAAGTGAAAGCACATGCAAAGATAAAAATGGCACCTAGAGTCATGGGTGACACCAAAGGCTCGCCATCCACTTGATTTTCCGGCGATTTCAGTGGCAGAGAAGCATCAGACGACTTCAAAACAGTAGCAGCAGCAGCCAGATCAGCCGATCGAACCTCTTGCTCAGCAGATTCATTCACCGCACCCTGGGTTTTTCCCCCTAGGGTATCATTAGTTGATGATAGCGCCTCCGCCGCCTATAAAACCGATCAAATAAATTAAACACAAGAAAAGGACTAATTTTTTCCTTTTTCCAGATACATGCAAACATGTATGTACAAAAACAGATATCATCAATCAGATCAAAATTCAAAACAAAACCGAACCTTGGAGCGTTTGCCATTAGGGAGAGGAGACGATGAGGGAGAAGAGAGAGGGCGTTTGGAGGAAGAGGAGCTTCGTCTCGTTTCCACCATGTCTCGATTGGATCAACACACAGAACTACACAAGTAAAATCGATTGCGATATAGAGAGAGAAGGGGAGAGAGAGAGAGAGAGGGGAGAAGGTGAATGATTACGGGACGATCAGTTATCAAAGCTCCGCCGGATGATGAATTTATTTATAGATTTTTAAAAAAGGGAGAGGTGTTGGGGGAGTAGAGAGGAGTGATGCGGCAAAAGAGGTTCTACAAGTTTTGGGGAATGAATTGATTTTATAGGCTTCGGGTGAGTCGGGTAACCACCGTGTGAACCTGAATCAGGGTTTTGTTGAGCAATAGCGTCGTAGGAATCGGCAGGGTTAATTTTGGTGAATTAAAATTTGATATGTCAAAAATTAGGTCCTATCCAGGAAAGGGGGAAAAAAAAGAAATAAGTCCAAATTCAAAATTATTCAAATTTTATGTGGATTTACATTAGTGAACTATAAGTTGTAGCTCAACTCGCTTAACTCATCCAACAATTAGAATTTATCTCTTCATTTCACTTCTCTTTAATTGTTTGTATATACAAAAGTAAGTTTCAAAATAATGATTCATTGTGTAATGCAATAGTATTGTCTTTTTTCTCTTTATGTTTTTAACAACACGATGCTAATTTTTTGTTCACTATTATGTAATATTTTTTAAATTGACCCGATAGTTTAATTTTTTTTTATGCTATGCTTGTTTTAACTCTTAAAATAATATTCATACTCACACAAATTCATTTAAATTTTGATGAATTTGACAAGTTATACTTGTACTGTTCAAAAATACAAAAATTAGCGAAAGGAGAATTAAATTAGACACTCTACCAACTCACTCTACATAATATTAGGCACTACCAAGAAATAATATAATTGTCTATAAAGAGTACATCGTTATATCGTTTGTGTGAAAAGACAAGATAAATGACTTATTAACGAGTAGTAAAAATATGCTCAATACAATTTATATACATGAAGCATAGGATTTTTTAAATTAAATTAAATAATTTTCGGATGAAGGTTTAATGATACGTATTAGGTGAAGTTGACTATGGAGATGATAAAGAAATTAACCTGCCTTTTACCAAGAGTAAAAGAAAATAAATTAGAAAAAGAAAACAAATCAAGGTATCATCTAATATATTTTAAATTTGTTTAATCTTTTTATGGAAAACAAATCAAATATGCTGGTTTTAACCATACCTATTCAAATTCGTTAATGTTCTTAAGGAACATGTATAAACATAATATATGACTAACAATTGTTAGGGATATAGTAGATATGCCCTAGATCCAATATCATATTTGATGATTTGAACATATTTTTGTGAACGTTATTTGATATAAAATATATATGGCATTTGATATTCTTTTATCGTTATTATTAATTGTTTGATTTATTTGATAAGGTCCTTGATTAAATTTTGAGACTTGTCATCGTGATTGAGATCATGATAATGAGAGTAACGTTTCTTATAATTTAATCTAAATTTGTTCTTGATCGTAGGATTATTTATTTGGACATTAGTAATCCGGTTAGATCAATATTTATGTGATCGTCTTTATGTGATAAAGATTAGTTGATCTCATTAACTACATTACATAGATAGATAATGCATATAGAGATATGATCGTTGAACCGACTCATTGGATAATTCCTAATGGTTAGAATTGCCATAAACTGTCAATAGGATATTCTCTTGAAGAATGTGATGTAAGAGTTTCCTTTGACTTGAGATTGTCATAGTAATTGACAAGTTATTTATTGTGCTTTGATACCAGACACCTATGGCCCTAAGGCGATAGTTGAAAGGATATTGGGTACGATTAAATACTTGGAGAATTAGTGATTGATCAAGATGGAATCTGTCAACTCTTGGTAATGACTTTAAGCTCCATGTTATCATGAATTATAAACGACCAAACTAAGACCTTGGCCAGGGAAATTGAATAAAAGAAGAAATGAGTTTTTTTAGGTCATTCAGTGGTCGATTATATTTGACATGAATACATAGTTGGTCGCCTATTAGGATTTGCCAGTTGAACCATATCCTAGGGTGATCCAGAGCTATAATGACAGAAGGAATTACTACATTATTCTTCTATTAGTTCTTGAGAGTAAATTGTATACTTCATGTTATCTGGTCGTTAAGGAGTGTTGCTAGACACCACCCTTGATTAGTATGTTGATGTGATCAATTTAATTCCGGCTTAATATTGAACCTATGAGGTCCCACACTAACGAGTGTTCTGATCTTTACTAAAAGATTAGTTATTTTATTATTTGATAATTAAATTAAAGAATTTAATTAGTCAAATAGATTTAGTTATTAGTCCAAATGAAATATTATTATATTCTTTTCTAGCATAGAGAATATAATTAATATTGTGAACAAATTGAAGTTTTCTATTTGGAATAGAAAATTAAATTATCTCTTGGTTAAAATATATATGTGATATATATTATTACTATTTATTTATATAGTAATATGTAATATGAAATATGTAAATATGTAATAGATATATATTCAACATAGATATGAAGCTTTTGGAATGGATCTGGGAGAAACAAGTACTAAAAGTACTAGACTTGAAGAGGTAGATATACCTCAAAACCTTGATTTGTTAAATAAATGGATGATTCCTAAAGTTTCTATGAAAATCATTTATGAGTATGGTTGGTTTGATAAACTTTCTTTAAAACAATTGATAAAAACGACTGAACAGTCTTTGGCGTTAAATTCTTCTGAACAGACTATTCGTTTGTTAAACAAACACGATATTGACTTATACAAACATCATTATCATTACTTGCATATTGGTATGGTTCTAATTGCGTTTAAACTTTAATCATTAAAGGGTTACCAGAGACCTTTTTGGCAGCTCTTAGAGATGCTAGAAATCTGAATTTCAGACAGTCTCTGATGGGTTCGATTGAATCTACTGTGGCCTATGGTCCAGTATATTTTAATACTCAACCCAATCTGCAACTATCTCTTTCTGATGTTAATATTCTTGATGCCTTGACTTTAAATGTGAAAACGCATGGTTATAATTATGCGCCTGGTTCTGAACTTATATGTCTGTCTTATAGGATTTATTTTAAATTATTATCTACTTTGAATCCTAGATGTAAGTTATACGATACATCAGATCAGACCATACTGGTAGAAATCAATTTTGCAAGGTCCAAGGTCACCACTAGGAAACCTATTAGGTGGGAAGAAATTAATTTCCCAACTACTTGGACTTTAAATTCGGTTATATCCCCAAGTCAGATTACTAACGACTTGTCAAATACTGAATTTTAATATGTTACTCAAAATCCGGATGGTAGGATTTGTATTCAATTTGATGATAAGTCTACTATTTATAATAGACATTCGTTCTCTAATCATAGATTTCTACCTGCTATTCAACATATTTCTCTTGTTGAACCAGTCTCGGTACAGCTTGCAATCGTGCAGCCTCTTTACACACTATTACTAGTAAAGTTAGTAATAAACTTGTTGAAAGCGCTAAAGTTAACCCTCAAACAAATATTGTTCAGGACAATGATAATATTTCTGATAAGGATATTCCTTCTGTATCCGAGATGGATTTCGACCCCAATAGTACTTAATGATTCCACACCAAATTGATTTTAGCCCCGGTTCTCGGGCACGAAAGTATATTCAAAAGGAATTTTTTAGTGATAAATGGAGCCAGTTTAAAACGTGGTTTTTCGATACTTATAGCAAAGATGATTAGAATAGTATTTCTCAAGAATTTTATGAAACTTGTGCTTTGCATAATCAAACTATGTATTTTGTTCCTTGGTTTATAACAACTTATTTGCCTCTTTATATAAAGGTACTAGAAAGATCTTATAAAGATGGGAGTGGTAATATTACTAAAGCCATTTATCCTCCTCAGGCCCCCTTTATTTTACCTAATAATACTGGTATTACCTTCACTGCTTTTCAAAAATTTATTGATGATAATGTTGCAGCTATTAGTATCGCAGAAATTAATAAATTTATTTCTCAAAACAATTATTTGGGTTTATATGTAAAAAATTTAGGAAAACATATCGGTTCTCTTGATAAAAAACTTGATGATTTGACTGTTTTAATAAAAGAAATGACTATTAAGAAAGGACTAACTGATGTTGCCTCCACTTCAGGAAGTAAAACAGTTGATCAAGCTATTCTTACTCATGTTCAAAGACCTCCTGAGATTCAGGATTTTAAATTTAAATCTCTTGATGACTTGGCACAACTCCTTGATAAAAAGCTTTCTGGTTTGAATGTTAGACCAATTGATTTATCTCAAAATTTTGCTGATAGAATTGAGACCGTTTCTGATTATAAAACTGAGACATGGTCAGAGTTTAATAAACTCAAAGGTTTAATTAAACCCAATAGTAGGTATGCTGACAAGCCTAGGATGCAAACTTACTATTATCCCCGTCCTACTCCTCAAGATGTGTTGATTGAGGAACGCGACTGGAATCAGACTAATACGTCTTATAGCGGTTCCGAAATTTATGAATGAAATCTTGATGGCTTAACTGATAGACAGTTAACTATTCTTGTATATAGAATGCTTGTGTACTCAACTATCTGTAAAAGTGTTAAGAACACAGATAGAACTATTTGCAAAATGATTATTGCAGGCTTTACTGGCCAACTTCGTAGTTGGTGGGATAATTATTTATCCGTTGAAGAAAATGCTTTAGTTATTAATGCTACTGCCAGAGACGAGGGTGTTGATAATATAGGTATGGCTCTAGTTAAGGGTAGAGAAGATGCAGTGTATACCTTTATCCTTAAAATTTTAGAGCATTTCAATGGTAGATTTACCTCAAATCATAAGACCATCAGAACCTTACTTAATGGGCTTAGATGTAAGACCCTTAGTGAATTTAGATGGTATAAAGATACTTTTATCAGTAGGGTTATGGAACTACCCGAGAATAAATATGAGCATTGGAAAGCTAAGCTTATAGAGGTCTCCCTTCCTTATTTGCTGAAAGGGTAAGGAAAGTATTAAGGGGTAGTTACGGTGAAATTCAGTATGGTAATTATACCTATGGTAAACTTATAGGAGTGTGTACACAAGAAGGATTAAACTTGTGTAATGAGCTAAAGCTTTCTAGACAGCTTAAGATTGATAAGCTTAAAGAGAAATCCCAATTAGGTGACTTCTGTACCCAGTTCGGTTTACCCGAAACCTCTACTCAAAGTAGGAA